TTTGTCTTCTTGACATTGAGCCTCAGTCCATACTGAAGGCTGCAGTCCTTGACCCTTCGCAGCAAGTGCATGATGTCCTCCTCAGTTTCAGCAAGCAGGGTTGTGTCATCTGCATAACGCAGCTTGTTAATAGATCTTCCACCAATCCTGATGCCACAATTCTCCTCATAGAGCCCAGCCTCTCGGATAATCTGCTCTGCATACATGTTGAAAAGGTATGGAGACAGGATGCATCCCTGGCGCACACCCTTCCCAATTCTGAACCATGCAGTGTTACCCTGCTCTGTTCTGGCTACTGCCTCTTGGTCCAATTATAGGTTTCGCATTAGCACAATTAAATGTTCTAGGATTCCCATTCTTCTCAGAGTCAGCCACAGTTTGTGATGATCCACACAGTCAAATGCCTTTGCATAATCAATGAAACACAGATAGACATTCTTCTGGTATTCTCTGCTTTCAGCCAAGATCCATCTAACATCAGCAACAATATGTTATTATTTAAGTTTTAAATAGTTTTTTTTTTTATGGAGAGAACTTAGTATGTACTTAATAGACATAATTCTAATTGTTTTAAAATACTTTATTTATAGTTCTAAACTCAGTGTTTAACATTTTTGGTCATTTTATAAAGTATTAAGAAATGGATGCCTGATATATCAGTAATCCTTATGTACATACCTTTTGTGCTATACAGTCTGTAAGGAGGTGAACTGCTAACCTAGAGGCTGCACGTCTCTGATGGTGCAGTTGGCTCAGCTGGAGGCAGTCTCTTCCCAGGGATTTACAGCCTGGGAAACACAGTCAACTATGAGACAGTTCTGACTCAAGTAAATTATGTGTAGAATATATCTACATGTTAGGAAGTGCCAGTTTTTGAGAAGAACATCATGCTTGAAATATTGGAGGATCATCAAAGGAGAGGAAGACCCTTACCAAGATGGATTGAAATGGTGACTACAACAGTGGGCTTGAGCACATGGAACTTGTGAAGGTAGCTGGTGAAGAAGCAAGCAGGGTATCATTCTATTGTTCATGTGGTCCTTTTGAGTTGAAATTGGCTCTATGGCACCTAACAACAACATGCTGCCTATTGATTAAAAAATATTATTGTTCACTTAAGGTAATATTTGACCTCTGTTTCCATTTTCGCAATTTCATTTGGCCATGCATAATTTAGGAAGCTGTGGTGGCATAGTCCATAGGGAACTGCACTGCTAACTTACGGGAAGCACCTCTTCCATAGTTCAGATCCATCAGAAAGGCAGAAAGATGGGCAAACTCCTCTGCAATTGTTAGCCCCCAAAGCCCCCTGGAGGATCAGCTGGGAGTCGTTTCCAAATCCATGACAATGCATTGATTTGAGTTGATATAGTTTAAAGGGATTTCACTACTGCTCTTTGTGGTAGTATTGTTAGGTGCCCTCAAGTCAACTACAGCTCTTAGTGACCGTGTAAAAAGCATCTCAGTCTCGCCCTATCCTGCACCATCCTCCCCATCTCTATATGCTATAACCCGCTGTTACATCCACTGGGTCGTTCTGTCTTGAGTATCTTCCTCTGGCCTTCCTCCTTTGCATGCATGTCTTTTCCCAGGGACTCTTTCATGCCATATTTTTCAAGAGGGCCATCTAGTGACAGATTAAGAAAATAAACCTTGAAGTGCTAAATGTGTGAATTGGTATATGTCTATGAATAAATATTTCTAGATGAGCATGCATACATACCAATAGATTTTTAAAAAAATAATAACTCTGAAGTTAAAATAATATTGGTGGAGTATATATAATGTACTTAACAGCAGTGGCTTAGGTTTTAGAAAGACACCGACAAAAATTATTTGGCTCAAAATAAATAAGACTTTCTGGAAATAAAGATGTTTACTAAAGCTGAAGCATGAAAATATCCAACTTTAGCACTAAAATGCTTCGATATGCTTTTGAATGTTGAATTGAATTCTGGATGGAATGAGCACAGATTTTGAAGCTAGATTTAGATTGAAATCTTAAGTGTCATTAATTACATGACTGTTGGCTTTGTAGGGAGCTCTGGTAGACTAGTGGTAATGAGTTGCACTGCCAGCCATCTTGAATCCACCAGCTACTCCATGGGAGAAAGATGGGCACTCTATTCCAGTGCATTTTACGGCCTCTGAAAACCCACTTGAGGGTCAGCTATGGGTTGGTTCGGACTCGATGGTACATAACAACATTGGCTTAGTGGTACGGCATTTTGCTATCAGCACAAAGGTACACAATTCTAATATACCAGATTCTCTGTTGGAGAAAGAACTGCCTCTGAAAACCCACTGGAGAATCAGCTATGGGTCAATTTTTACTTGATACTATACCACATGAACAAGTAACCTAATCTCTTACTTAGCCTTATCTCTGAAACAAAGTACTATCTTACCAGTCAATTTATTGTGAAGATTAGCTATGCTATTTCTGAATAAACTGGCACTTAATAAACAGTAGCTATTAAGAAGGAAATTCTGGTAACTTAGAGGTAAAGAGTTGCCTTGCCAACCCAAAGGCACACAACTAAAATCCACCAGCTGCTCCCCTCCATAGAAGAAAAATGAGAAATAGCACATGTGGTCAGCTGCCTCTGAAAACCCTCAGGAGGGTCAGCTATGAGTTAGTTCTGACTCTGTGGTACAAAACAACCACAAAGAGCCCTGGTGGCACAGTCATTAAAGTGGCTGAGTGTGAACCCAAGTCACCAGTTTGAATCCACCATCTGTTCAACGGGAGAAAAATATGACAGTCTACTTCCATAAAAAATTTATATCAGAATCCTGATGAAGCAGTTGTGGCCTGTACAGTAGAGTCACTTTGTGCCAGAATTGACTTGAAAAAGTTAAGAAAAACTCATAGGTTGTCTGTCTTGCTTTTGTCTTCAGGAATATGCAGAGATAATTGTTTTTAAGTTTAAATTTAACTTTTATTGAAAGGTAATATGAAATGGGGAAAGCATGAATTCTTAACAGCAATCAGACATGATTTGATCACTTAATTATTATTACTTGGGAAAATAATAGCACATCTTTCTATGTCCCAGGTTGATTATGTATATAATGTTTATGATAATATCTACTTGGCAGTAAAGTTATGATACATATAAAATGCGTAATGATGATGATGTGTGCCATTGAGTCATAACCAGCATTGACCCGCCAGCAGATTTTTAGAAGCTCCTTATCACATGAGACAAGACTGTCAATCTTTCTCCCGCATAGCACTTGGTGGATTTGAACTGTGTGCCTTTGGGACTATAGTGCAAGTTCTTATGACTAGGCTACCAGAGCATACTTAAATCGTTGTTGTTACTATTGTTTTGCTGTCAAGTTTGAACCTGTTCACAGCTAATTCACTAGTAGGTTGTCAGTGGCAGTAAATTGCATAGGAAGAGACTGACACATCTTTGTCTAGTGAAACAGCTGATGAATTTGAACCATGTGCTTTTGGGTTGGCTGTGAACCATATTATCTGCAAATTCTTGCCATTTTGTTTGGTTTCCTTAACACTAGGTAAATATTGTAATAGACTAAAAATGTAGAATAAATATGGTGATTTTCCCTTTTTTTTTAAAATAGGTCCCTTTTATATTAAGCTTTGTTTATTAGGAAGAGACTACCCATTTTTCTCTGGCAGACCTGCTGTTTGGTTTAAGCCACCAAAGTCCTGGGTTCTGTGATTAGCAGTGCAACACACTACTACAGACAGCAACACCAGGGCTCCCTCATAAAGCTTTACCTGAAATTGGCAGGCAGAGAAATAAAATGGCAGAGGAGAACCAGAAAATATCAGAGTTTAGCTTTTGGTCTTAATTCTGCCACTGACTTCATATATCCTTAAAGGCATTATTACTATTAAGCACAGATTTCCAGTGTTTGGTTTTCTTCTTGTGTGCCTGTTTAGTAATCCCATGTAATATATAGAACGTAATCTCTGAATGTTGCCATATAACCTTTTTCCTCATTATCCAAAATCAACCTAAGGAGCACCCCATTCTTATCTAGATACTTATCAAAATCCTAAACACATTTTGTACTTACCCACATACTCTTTCCTCTTACTAAAAAATTCTCGAGATGTAAAGTCAGCAAGAGAGGCCTTTGTCATTTCTGTGGTACCTTGATCCTAATGTACCAGTTTCTCTTTTTTTTTCTTTTTTTCATCTTTAAACATTATCATATTGGAATTAACCTATTTATTACGTAGATTGCCTGTGATCTGTCATTATTTGATGTTTGACAAATCCCATGTCTTACAGGAAAATGCTTGTAATCAGAGGTAACAATCAGTTTAGGTAGTAAATTTCAATTTAATCAAAATAAGCAATAAAATAGGGAACAGATTTTTTTTTTCTAGCTTTTACTTACCAATGTATAACTGTTGACAAGCCCTAAAATGGGGTGATTTTTGTATGCAAATGAAAATGGAGATTTATATAAAATTGAAGTGAGTGTAATTTATAAAAGTGGTATACCTAAATAAAATGTTTCCTAATCCTCTGCTTTATTCTTCAAGTGAGATAGACACTTATTTTACTAGTCTGTATAAACTAGACTTCTGTATCTTTTAGTCATAAAGCTTTTTAAATTGCCAGATGAGAAGGAAAATAAATCCAAGTACTATAGCTTTTATATTTTTAGTATCATAGAGCTGTTGTAATGGATGAGGTGTTTAGCTTTATCAGTTCTTTTACATGTAAATAATTATATAAAATTTTTTAAAAGAATTTGTTTGCTTGTGTTACTATTAATTTTAGAATTACTGTATTAATTTTTATTGTATTGTGCATTTTTTTAGCTACAGTACCATCTCTAGCTGAGCATTGACCACTTACGAACTGCTGATTAATGAGTGAATAAAGTTTTACTGATGAAAATGTTATCTAATGGTCTTTAACTTTCTACTTTAAAAAACAATGGTATACTACTATATATCCTAATGTAATGACATTTTATGACCTATTTCTGTATCTTTTTTTCTTTAGATTTCAGAAGTTGATTGCAAAGATGCACTAGAAATGATATGTAACTTAGAATCTGAGGGTGATGAAAAAAGTGCTCTTGTTTTATGTACTGCATTTTTATCCCGTCAGTTGCAACAAGGAGATATGTACTGTGCTTGGTGAGTTAATCAGAGGGAGTGAGAATTTATATAAATGGGTTCAGTTTCCTCACTTTTTTAAATATTAACCTAATCACTTTATTACTTGGCTTTAAGGATTTTAGAAGCTATTATGTTATTGATGTTTTGTGCTTTTTTTATTATCTAGTTTAAAATGCAGATGTGGCTTAGAATTACTAGTTGTATGATTTGCTTAAACATCAGGTGCTTTTCTAGTTAAAAGTAGTGTTCCTCTGTGATTGAAATAAATTAAAATGATAAATATTTTAATTGTATTTGTTCTTTAGAAAAGTTGCAGCTATTTTCTCAATTAAAACTTAATTCCTTATGTAGAATTGAAATGTTAAACTAATTTTGTTTTTTTTTTTTATTCAAATGTAATGATGGGACTGGCATGGTCCTGTTTATTGTTTATTATATATCTGTAACTCTTTTTTTAGGGAGCTCACTCTCTTTTGGAGTAAGTTACAACAAAGGGTAGAACCATCTGTACAAGTGTATCTAGAGAGGTGTCGTCAGCTTTCTTTGTTAACCAAGACGGTCTACCACATTTTCTTCCTGATTAAAGTTATTAATTCAGAGGTAAGAATAATTAATAATTTCTAAATTTAAAATGTATAAATTATCTTTAGTAAAAGACTAACTTATTGGATGACAGGTAAAACAATATCCACTAGGGGGTTGGTGGTGGTGGTTGTTGATTTCTCTCAGGTCGAGCATGACTCTTAAGAGATTCTGTGAACAAAATAACTATGGTCATTTCTCCAAGTTCATAGAATCTCTAGAGGCATGTGGTTTAGGAAGTGGATCCCACTCCTACTTCCAAACCTGTTATACAACTGGGAGCTCCACCGAACACTGTCCACGTTGGGAAACCATTGTGATATTTGATACCCCAATGGCACAAGGTTCATGCTGACATCACAGCATACCTAGGTTACTTCATACTGCACATTGACAAAGAGTCATGTACAAAGTAGAAGAGTGTTCCCTCAGATATAACAGCACTAGTCTCATTTAGCACCGGTTAAGTTGTCAAGTTGAATCCGACTCAGAATAAGCTTTGCACAAAAGACTGTTCTATAACCAACATCTTTTCTGTACATTTACAAAGTTTAAAGAGTTTGTAGAGTTTCCAGAGGCATCTGGTGGATGCCACTCCTGCTTCCCAGCATGAATCAATCTGGAACCTCATTCAAACATTGTACATAATGGGTAACCATTACGGTATTTGACAAGACTATGGAACAGTATTGTTCCAGGTTGTTCAGTACAGCTGTTAGACAGGTGATTGCTGTGTCATTTAAAGAATATTCATTTGAAAGGGTTAGTTAGACTTGTAATTAATTGAATTAATCTGTAGCATTTAATATTAAAAATCAAAATGTCTGAATGATTGTATGGGGGGGAAAACCCCAATGTGATTTAGAAACTTTTCACTCAAAACTTTTTTTTTTTAAATATGGAACGCTTCATGAATTTGCGTGTCATCCTTGCGCAGGGGCCATGCTAATCTTCTCTGTATCATTCCAGTAAAACTAAATATTTTTTTAAAAAACTGCCATTATTATTTTGGCCCATCTTAAAATGCCTCGAACACTGGTTTTCTTAACAACTCTTTAAGACATATGTTACCCAGACTTGAAATTTCAACCACCAACAGTGAATAAGGGTTGTGGTTTCTCCACAACTTCGCCAGCATCTGTTGTTTGCTGTTCTATTAAATTTTGCTATTCTTACTGGGGTGAGATGATATAGTTGTTTTGATTTGCATCTCTCTTAGAGCTATTTTTTAAAAAAATGTTAAAAAATAGTTTAAAATATTAAACATTAATGTAATATTAAATTAAATATTTTAAATTTTTTATTTTTAATTTTATTTTATTATTTTTGTGTGTGTACTGTCAAATCAGATCTGACTGGTACAGGAGGAGATTGTCCCTCCTTCTCCAGCAAATCATCTGGTGAATTCGAACTGCACACCTCCAGGTTTGCAGTGCGTCTTCTTACCACTAGGCCACCAGAGCTCACCAGATTTTGTTTGTTTGCCATCTGAATGTCTTCTCTGTCAAAGTGTCTGTTCATATCCTGTGCCCATTTTTCAGTTGGGTTGTTTACCTTTATATTTTTGTGGTGTTAACTGTACTTTTGTCGCCTTTCTGATTCTTGTGCTAGTCTAGCCATATGGGATAGGTGATTCGATCTTCAGTTTTATGAGACCAGTAGAATCCACATTTTGGGCGATTGGATAATATAATTTGTTAAGAGTAGAATCTTTCATTACTAAGAAGTTAAGAAATATGAGGACATTGTTGATTTTGCATTTTGATTAAGAGAGTTTTAAAATGATATCAAATGGAAACTTAGATTATGAGATTCGTAATACAGATACTGACTCCTTACAGACCATTTCTTATAAATTAGGCATTTCTGTAAATTAGGCACTTCTGAAAAAGGGAGCGCCGGTTGCCTAGTGGTTAAAGAGTTGTGCTGCTAACCCAGAGGCAGGGAGTTCAAAACCACTAGCCACTCAGAGGGAAAACGATGGGCCATCTTCTTGCACGTGTTTTACAACCTTTGAAAACCTGGAGTCAGTTAGCAAGTCAGTTCCAACTTGATGGCAGGAGATTAGTTATTCTAACATAGTCTAGGTACCTTATACACATAATTTTCGCATTCAACAATTTCATTTCATGTAAATGCTATTTTGACCCTTTATTTTATTAAGTGGCATATGAAAAGTCAAAGAAATAACTTGTAAGTTTGCTCAGCTATGAACTAATTTCATAGCTCTGATCTTACAGTTGCTGTGCATTTTCTGCATTTCTGTGCCTTTTATTGTACACATTAAACAAGTTTGCATGCTCGTGCACACACAGAAGACAAAGCTACTGTGCTTTAGGAAAAAAATCACCTTTTCATATGCTGGGTAAAGCAAACCTAGATTTTAAAATTATTATAAAATTACTAAATTCACTTCTTTTGTGTAGTAGGACTTATGTTACTACCTTTTTCTGGTTTTTTGTTTTGTTTTTTTTCCCCACAGACTGAAGGGGCTGGACTTGCCACCTGTATAGAGCTATGTGTAAAAGCTCTTCGCTTGGAATCCACAGAAAATACTGAAGTGAAAATATCTATTTGCAAGACCATTTCATGCTTGTTGCCTGATGATCTGGAGGTTAAACGTGCCTGTCAACTGAGTGAATTTCTTATTGAGCCTACAGTAGATGCTTATTATGCTGTGGAAATGCTGTACAACCAACCAGACCAGAAATACGACGAAGAGAATCTTCCAATACCAAATTCTCTACGCTGTGAGCTCTTACTTGTATTGAAAACTCAGTGGCCCTTTGATCCAGAATTTTGGGATTGGAAAACCTTAAAACGACAATGCCTTGCATTAATGGGAGAAGAAGCATCCATTGTGTCTTCAATAGACGAGTTAAATGACAGTGAAGTGTATGAAAAGGTAATAGACTACCAAGACGAGATTAAAGAAACTTCTCTAAATGGACTTTCTGGTGGAATTGGTGCTAATTCTGACCTTTGTGATGAGAAGCAGAAGAAAAAAGAAATAAAACAGTTAAGGGAGCGTGGATTTATATCTGCTAGGTTTAGAAATTGGCAAGCCTACATGCAGTACTGTGTACTATGTGATAAAGAGTTCCTTGGCCACAGAATAGTACGACATGCTCAGAAACATTACAAAGACGGGGTTTACAGTTGTCCCATATGTGCAAAGAACTTTAATTCAAAAGAATCTTTTGTTCCTCATGTCACATTGCACGTTAAACAATCTAGTAAAGAAAGACTAGCAGCTATGAAACCATTAAGAAGATTGGGTAGGCCTCCTAAGATCACAGCTACCAATGAGAATCAGAAGACTGTCAATAATGCTGTAATCAAGCAGGATCAGAGGCCTATTAAAAAGAATAGTCTCTATTCAACAGATTTCATAGTATTTAATGACAATGATGGTTCAGATGATGAAAATGATGACAAAGATAAATCTTATGAACCAGAAGTGATCCCAGTTCCTAAACCAGTACCTGTTAATGAATTTAACTGCCCTGTATCTTTTTGTAAAAAGGGCTTTAAGTACTTTAAAAATTTAATTGCTCATGTAAAAGGGCATAAGGATAATGAAGATGCCAAGCGCTTTCTTGAAATGCAAAGCAAAAAAGTTATTTGTCAGTACTGTAGGCGGCATTTTGTAAGTGTGACTCATCTCAGTGACCATTTACAAATGCACTGTGGCAGTAAGCCATACATCTGTATACAGATGAAATGTAAGGCTGGCTTTAACAGTTACGCAGAGCTCCTAACCCACAGAAAGGAGCATCAGGTGTTTCGAGCAAAATGTATGTTTCCTAAATGTGGCAGGATTTTCTCAGAAGCTTATTTGCTGTATGATCATGAAGCACAACATTATAACACCTATACATGTAAGTTCACAGAGTGTGGTAAAGTTTATCGTTCTCAGAGTGAACTAGAAAAGCACTTGGATGAGCACAGTGCTCCTCCTGAGAAAGCACTGCCACCTGAAGACCAACTTCATTCATCTGATGATTCCATTCAGCCTTACAAAGGAAACCAGAACACAGATGGAAACACTGAGAAGGAGCATGCTATGCTTCCATCAGAAAATAACACTGAAAACAGCTCACCAGATGACAAAACTAAGAGTTGGGATAAAAACAAAGCCGAATCAGACAACCCTGAACAGGATCAGGTTTCTGACTCTTTGCTGAGGGAACCTGATGGATCATTGTCAAATGATTTGGAAAATCCTACTACCATCCCCCTGCTTCAGGCCAGTGAAGTAGCTGTGTCCATCAAAGTGTCTCTCAATCAGGAGGTTGAGGATAACTTTGAAAAACAAGAAAACTCAGATGTAGGAGGCACTGGTGAATCACTGCTCACAAGTTTGCATACACCAGTTGAAAGCACTTGTACTGATTTATGTCATTCAGGTTTCCAAGAGAGGAAAGAACAGGATTGCTTTAGCCAAACTCAAATTACTCAGAATTCTTTAGTTAATTCCGAAACTCTCAAAATGGATGACTCTACCCCACATAACTTAGAAAGACAAGTGAATAGTCTAATGACCTTTGCTGTGCAAAATCAGTCAGGATTTCAAAACAATTTACCAACTTCCAAGCTTGAATGTGAAGGAAATGTGAAAACATCATCCAACCTTTACAGTTTACCTCTGAAGACATTAGAAAGTATCACATTTGTTCCACCACAGGCTGATCTCAGTGGCTCTATAGACACCCCGTCAGTGCCTCCTAAAGCTCCAGTTCAGAAATTCAGTTGCCAGGTTGAGGGATGTACTCGAGCTTATAATTCTTCACAGAGCATTGGGAAACATATGAAAACAGCACACCCTGAGCAGTATGCTGCATTTAAAATGCAGCGCAAAAGTAAAAAAAGTCAAAAATCTAATAACCTAAATACACCAAATAATGGAAAGTTTGTTTATTTTTTGCCATCACCAGTGAGCAGCTCAAATAATACTTTTTTTACACCACAGACCAAAGCCAGTGGGATTCCTACTTGTTCAGCCCCGTTACAGCCTGTCTCCTCTTCTATTTTTCCAGCAAATGTAACTGCTTCACTGTTGCCCTCAATGGAAAATGTCATAAATCCAAATATACCTTCTCAGGACAAAAATGAACCAAGTAGTATATTGTGTTCCCAGATGGAAAATTTACCAGGTACTCCCTTGGCAGCACAAATGGAAGATCTAACCAAAACTGTTTTGCCCTTGAATATTGACAGTGGCTCAGATCCTTTTATGCCTTTACCTGCAGAAAGTAGTTCCATGTCTCTCTTCCCTTCACCAGCAGATAGTGGGACTAATTCTATATTTTCCCAGCTAGAAAACAATACAAATAGTTTTTCTTCACAGATTGAAGGGAACACTAATTCCACCTTCCTGAAGGGGAACAATGGTGAAAATGCAGTTTTCTCTTCACAAGTGAATGTTGCAAATGACCTCAGCAGCAGTAGTGCCCAACAATCTGCATCTGAAAAAGCTAAAAAAGACCGTGGATGTGGTCCAAATGGGAAGGAAAGAAAACCCAAGCAAAACAAAAGAGCTAAGTGGCCTGCAATTATCAGAGATGGAAAATTTATCTGTAGCAGGTGTTACAGGGCTTTTACTAATCCTAGATCACTAGGTGGACACTTGTCTAAGAGATCTTATTGTAAGCCACTGGATGGAGCGGAAATTGCCCAGGAACTTCTACAGACGAATGGACCTCCTTCTCTTCTTGCCAGCATGATTCTCTCCACAAATGCAGTAAATTTGCAGCAGCCACAACAGTCTACCTTTAGCCCAGAAGCATGTTTCAAAGACCCATCATTTTTGCAGGTTCTTGAAAATCGTGCACCAAGGTTTTTACCAAATACATTTCCTCGTACTAGCGTGACTAATTTTAATACCACCATTAGCCAAGAAGGAAGTGAAATTATTAAACAGGCCTTGGAAACTGCTGGCATTCCTAGTACATTTGAGAGTGCAGAAATGCTTACTCCAGTTGTTCCATCAAGTGGTGTGTCTGAGACAGCACAAGTCAATGCAGTGGTCATGCCAAATTCAAATGTGCCCCCTCTGTTACAGAGTGTATGCCATCCAAATGCCCTGCTTACAAACCAGAGTAGGACACCAGACTCCAAAACTTCCTCCGTGGATGAGTGCAGCACTTTGCCAGTCTTTCCAGCAAATGATTTACTACTGAAGACTGTGGAAAATGGCTTGTGCTCTGGTTCATTCCCTAGTGCTGGTGAGTCATCACATAATTTTACCAATAATAGTCCACGTGTTTCAGTTATAAGTGGTCCTCAGAATTCAAAGTCTAGTCAATTAAATAAAAAAGGAAACAGTTCTTCTAAGAAAAGAAAGAAAGCTGTTCCTCCATTAATAGCACCTAATACATCCCAGAACTTGGTATCAGATGACTTAACAGCAGTGGAACTCGTAGCAAAGAATGTTGAGATATCAACTACTAGCCTTCATGCAAATGCAGTTCCAACTTGTGAACCTCAGGGGTTGGTGGGAAATCTAACACAGAAGCTAAGTAATGTTGACAATCAGTTATTTTTGACTGATGTAAAAGAAAGCTTCAAAACTAACCTTGAGTCTCATACAGTGTTAGCACCTTTACCATTAAAAACAGAAAATGGTGATTCCCAAATGATGACTTTAAATTCATGTACAACATCGATAAATTCTGATTTGCAGATTTCTGAAGACAATGTTATGCAAAACTTTGAAAAGACTCTTGAAATTATTAAAACGGCTATGAATTCTCAAATACTTGAGGTGAAAAATGAAACTCAAGGTGTTGGTGAAACATTACAGAATGCACAAATAAGTTACAACATTCAACTTCCTTCAGTAAACACTGTACAGAATAGCAAATTACCTGATTCTTCTCCATTTGCTTCCTGTATAGGAATCATGACAACAAAAAGTAATATTCCTCAGTCAGAAGTATTAAATAAAGGGGATCAAATACAAGAAATCTTAGAAGGGTTACAGAAATTAAAATTAGAAAATGACCTCTCCACTCCAGTGTCCCAGTGTGTACTAATCAATACATCAGTGACTCTGTCTCCCACACCTGTTAAATCAACTCCAGATACCTTAGTGGTTCAGCCAGTTTCTGAAATTGTGAATAGTGTTCAGTTTAGTGACAAGGTTAATAAACCCTTTGTGTGTCAAAACCAAGGCTGTAACTATAGTGCTATGACAAAAGATGCACTGTTTAAGCACTATGGTAAAATCCATCAGTATACTCCAGAGATGATTCTTGAGATTAAGAAGAATCAGTTGAAATTTGCTCCATTTAAATGTGTGGTACCTACATGTACAAAAACATTTACAAGAAATTCTAATCTCCGGGCACACTGTCAATTGGTACATCATTTTACAACAGAAGAAATGGTAAAGTTAAAAATAAAAAGGCCTTATGGAAGAAAATCTCAGAATGAAAATTTGCCAGCGTCAAATGTTGTTCAAGTAAAAAACCAGCTAGTTATGACAGAAGAAAATAAAAAGGAATCCCAGCCTGCTTTAGAACAGGAAACGGTGAAGGAAAATGACATAACTAATCTAACAGTGACCCCAGAAATAGAACTTACAGAAAAAAAAAGTCCTGAAAATACAGAAAGTTCTTCACAAGCAATTGCAGTTAGTCCAGAACAACATAATAAAAATTCCCCAACAAATACACAAACCAAAGGACGGAAAATTAGGAGGCATAAAAAAGAAAAGGAAGAGAAACAAAACAAGAAGCCAGTAACCCAAACCCTTGAGATACCAACAAGATACAGTCCCTACAGACCTTATCGGTGTGTTCACCAGGGTTGCTTTGCTGCCTTTACAATACAGCAAAACTTGATTCTTCATTACCAGGCTGTTCACAAATCGGACCTCTCTGCATTTTCTGCAGAGATTGAAGAAGAAAGTGAGGCTGGTAAAGAAAGTGAGGAAGGTGAAACTAAACAAGCTGTGAAAGAATTTCGATGTCAGGTTAGTGACTGTTCTAGAATTTTCCAAGCAATTACTGGCCTGATACAACATTACATAAAACTTCATGAGATGACTCCTGAAGAAATTGAAAATATGGCAACCACTGTGGATGTTGGGAAATTTCCATGTGACCAGTTAGAGTGCAAATCTAGCTTTAGTACCTACTTGAACTATATTTTCCATCTTGAGGCTGACCATGGAATTGGGTTAAGAGGAAGTAAAGGAGATGAGGATGGCATATATAAATGTGATTGTGAAGGTTGTGACCGTATTTATGCAACTCGATCTAATCTCCTCCGACACATTTTTAATAAACATAATGACAAACATAAAGCTCATTTGATTCGACCTAGAAGATTAACCCCAGGTCAGGAAAATATATCAAGCAAGGCAAACCAAGAAAAAACAAAACCCAAACATCGAACAAAAGACAGCAGATCCAGGAAGGAAGGAACTAAAATACCTAAGACAAAACGAAAGAAAAAAAATCATTTAGAAAACAAGAACACAAAAATTGTGCAAGTTGAAGAAAATAAGCCTTATTCTTTGAAACGTGGAAAGCACGTATATTCTATAAAGGCTAGAAATGATGCCTTATCGGAGTGTACAAGCAGGTTTCTCACCCAGTATCCATGCATGATAAAGGGATGTTCATCAGTTGTTACAAGTGAAAGCAATATCATTAGACATTATAAGTGCCATAAGCTATCCAAGGCATTTACATCACAGCACCGCAATCTTCTTATTGTCTTCAAACAGTGTTGCAACTCACAAGTTAAGGAAACGTGCCCTGAGCAAGACGTTAATAAAAGTGATGTGAAAGAGCCTGACACCTGTGTATCAGAGAACAATGACAACTCAGAAGCACCTTTGGTTCCACAGAGGGAAGTAAAAAAAAATGAAAAAGATGAAATGGATGAACTAACAGAGTTATTTATCACAAAACTAATAAATGAAGACACCACCAATACAGAGGCCCAGGCTAATAATCCTCCTTCAATTGAAAGTAATGATATTCAGGAAAATAACCCCTGCCAATCAGAAAAACCAAAAGGAAATAATTTGAAAAGAATTAATAAAGAAAAAAATGTCTCACAAAATAAGAAGAGAAAAACTGAAAAACCTGAAGCCACGTTGGCTGTTGAGTTAAGTAGTCCACAAAAAGAAGAAGAAACTGCTGTTGCCATTCAGACCACTGAGGATCACCCTGCCTCCTTCGACTGGAGCTCCTTTAAACCTATGGGATTTGAGGTATCATTTCTCAAGTTCCTGGAGGAGTCTGCTGTAAAGCAGAAGAAAAATACAGACAAAGACCATCCTAACAGTGGAGCTAAAAAAGGAGCTCATTCAAATTCAAGAAGAAATACAAACAAGACTGCTGTGACTGGTGGGAATCGTGTATGTTCTTGTAAAGACAGTGAAACTTTTGTACAGTTTGCCAATCCATCACAACTTCAGTGCAGTAAAAATGTAAAAATTGTTTTAGACAAGACTTTTAAAGATTGCACTGAGCTCGTCTTAAAGCAGCTTCAGGAAATGAAACCTACTGTTAGTCTGAAAAAACTTGAATTACGTCAAGATAAGTCTCTTATGAAAGAAGTCAGCATAGGTAAAGCCATGGGGAGAGGGCAGGACTGAGAACTTATGTACTTACTATAAATACATTATTAATGGTTTTATTTTAAATAGGAAGCCATTAAGCATGCTAGAATTGTGAATTTTGTTTTCTTTTGTTGTTGTTGTTGTTACCAATTAACCTAGCCAAGAAAAAAGGAAGAAGAGAAGAAAAATACAAACTAACCGCCATGACATTTGTCATGTAAAACTTTTTGTTTTTATCCCTATGGGACTGGAGGGACAGAAGCAGTACTTCTGTTTTGTAAATAGATGAGCTGAACCTCATATTTCTACCAACCAGTTACCCTTTCCATGACCTAAACTGAATTTTCTGTGTGAATGGTGTGTTTCACGGGTCACTGCTCATGTATAACAGTCCTCTTTGTAGATACCTTTTTTTGTATATATTTATTATTGTAAATCATCTGCTGCCACCAGCAGTCTATAAGTCTAAACTATTAAATGACACATTTATATTTGGAATTTTAATTTTTAACTGACCAAGTTTTTAACTAAGTGATCAAATCTTGTTTTAAATTAAGAACTTTTTGAACTAAAACTAGAAACTGCTATAGTCCTTTTGTTTTTTAACGTGCATTTATTTGCAAAATGCTCTTAAGATTACTTTTCACAGACAAGGCACATTGTTGTATTTACACCTCACTCTGCTTTGTAAATTTACCGTTCAAAATTTTTAGGTGGTAGTCATGTTAAATTAAGGCAGATGCTTTAAGCAATTTCCTATACATACAAGATTTTTTGGTTTGGGGTGGGTTTTTTTTGTTTTTTTCATTGCTTTTAATTGGATACAGTTGCTATGATTCCATGAAACATAATGGAAATGTGAATAAAGAATTTATTACATTAAAGATTTTAAACATTTGATATTTAAAAAAATTCTTTGTGATGTGATAGAAACTAGTAGTGTGGAGCAGTGTAAATATTTGAGGTGGTGATTTGTGAAGTAGCCCAGTATTGCCTTAAATAAAATCACATTTCATTTCTTGTTTATACATGTGATCTTAAAAAGGTTTTGGGTTTGGTCCCCCCTCCCCCCTGCCCCTTTTTTTGAAATTTATAGATTGGTGTATAGCTTTAAACTGTATAAACTTTTGTGGAAAGATTTTTTTAAACATTTTTATAAATCTTAATATTCGTATCATCAAAGTGAGCCCATCTTGTGTTTATAAAATGCAAGAGTCCTTAGCATTTCTAATTACAAAGATAAAACACTTTCTATAAGGAAGTTGGATGTTTTGATTTTATTGTTATAGATGTTAGATTATACAGATTTGTCTGTATTTTTCCACCATATCTAATGATACTTTTTTCATTAGATTGGTCTTCAAGAGCAGTATTAGTTGTACAATGGATTATTTTGGTTATTCAGTATATAGTTAGCTCTTACAATTTAGCTTTATTCACCATATTTATACTGTGGATTCACAGCTAAAAGTAGAGAGTTTATGACCTTCATTTAAAGTCCAATGAAAATCAGTACTAGAAGCAAAAGGAAAATACTCTTTCAAGATCAACTTTTGTTTCTGTTTGCCATAAATACTATAGTAGAATTGGTTTTTTACTTTGTGTTTGTTATAAAATTTGAATTCACAATACTATTAGCTTGTGGTATTGAAGATAATGTGATGATCTGAAATTGTGTATATTCCCTGTGCAACATCATAATTTCAGGAAAAATGAAGCACTTACCATTAATTGAAATTACTAGTACTCTGAATAAATAAGCATGGCCAAGGAGTGAATTATTTTCTTTTGGAAAATCTTTTTATGTTTTATTATTAAAATAGTTTTATATTTAGGGTCTAATTGGTTGTACTTCCTAATTGGTTTCATTTCCTTAAAGGTTTATTACCAATATGCATAAGACTTGACACATTAAAATTCCTGTCCCTTGGTAAGCCCACTGTTATTTATTAAAATAAAAGTTGTTTTTATGGGTGGTTAATCCATGGTTTTTTTTCCCCTAAATTAATAATAGTAATATTAAATTTATGTTAACAACTGAATGTTTTCATATAGTTTTCTTGGAAGCTGACTTAGCCCTTACATCTAGGCATTTGGCAAAAGGGCCAGGTAATGCTGCACATTTGTTCCTAATGAATGAAAGTGATAAACCTTCATTAAATGAAAGTGGTATGGTGTAAGAACTCCTCTTTTGCTTACTCGCTTCAGCAGTTTGGCCAGTAGCCATTTCTGTAATGGTTCTCCGATGTTTGAGAGGAAGCAGTTTGCCAACATTAAGTAAATGTTTTTCTATTCTGGGAGCTTTATACTAAAAGTGTTTGTGGAAAAGTGGACTTGAACATGGAACAGAAAAATTATGGTATAAAATAAGTTCATTTATAGGATAGCAAGTTGTAAAATTTTATATGGCATATAATGCCTATTTATATAAAAACAGTGATTTGCATGGTTTACATTTCCTTAGCCTGTTACGTTGGGAGACTTCCATCAGCTTGAACTTGCTTGACTTCCTCAGTAAAGATAGATTCCCCGTACTCCCTTTTAAACTTAATTGTAATGTTACAGATCAGAACTGTGTTATTCAAAGTGCATCCTTGTACATGAAGTAGAACAACAGTGTCGGGACATTTTCAGCAGTGTTAAATTGCGCATAGTTAAATTATGGGTTTTTTTTAAGACTGGAGACTTAACTATGCTAATGTTGGTCTTCAGGAAAACATGACTTTTATAGGTATTAAGATCATTATGTACTATCAGATCAATTCCGACTTACTGTGATCCTGTGAGAAAGAACAGAACTGCCACATTGGTTTGCTGGGCTCTAGTCTTGAAGGCAGCAGGTGTCAGGCCTTTCCCCCCAGAAGCAGCTGGTCTGTTCACATAGCCTCCCTTTTGGTTAGCAGCTAAGCTCTTAATCATTGAACCACTGTGGCACCTTAGGCATTAGGATAGAGGCATATGACTATTATGGGGAAAAAGAGCAAAGAGTTTGTGGGGGGAGGGCAGCAGAGGAAGGACTTAGGAAAGATGGCTGAGTCTTGACAGGCTAATCGATGATCATAAAAGAATGAATTCTGGCCAAAGAACAGTGCATTTTCAGCATTGCAAGTGGCCCCTTTGATGAGAGAGGGAAATGAAACCAAAAAGAACACATTATGGAGGTTTCATATCTCATATTTAGTATTTTACTATGTTGGAAATAAAATTACCACTGTGTAGAGAACAGATGAGTTGGATGAGAAGGAAGCCTTGAAATGATTCAGGTAATGATGGAAGCCAGAAGGAGGATGAGTTGATGGAGATCAAAAGCAAGCCAGTGGACAAGAGAGGTGTTAAAAGTAGAGTAATCTAAGGAAGGGTTTTTGAAAACTTTTATTGCAGGGAACTAGATAGAAGTTACATTCTGTGATTAAAGAAATTACAACAAACTCTAGCTCCCTCTTAAAGAATTCTGTGTATATTTGCATATCAAACTCTTGGAAGTCGAATTATAGAGAACCATTTTAACTAAAGTTAATTTTCCAGATTTAATTGACTTTGAAGACTTTTTTTGATCTGGTTTATTTATCTAATTAACACTTAGGTATCCCACTGATTGGCATTTTGAGCAGTACAGTTTGGAAAACGTTGACCTAAACCACCATGTGTACTATGCTTGATATCGTGTACACCAGTATGAGTACCAGCAATTATTTTGATCAAGTCATTCACTTAAGTTGTTTGCTTCCCCACCTTTATTTGTTAAATTATTAAAAACAGACAAACGGAGCATTGGCTAAATGTACTTCAACTAAAATCCAGTCTCTCCCTTCACAGTAGCCCCTAATGACCTTTGTATTGTGCCTTCAGTTTCTTCATCCCTAGGCACACAATAAGCTTTTGTCCTCAGCTTAAGGCCTTCACACATCCTCTCCTATCTGGAATGTTCATTCCTTTCTTCTTCAGTGCTAGACTGCATCATTCTCACCTTAAATGTCATCTCATCAAGGAGGCCTGAGACCATTTTATGTTTCACAGACCTCTTTATGAAGGCATTTTTATTTCTTGCATTTGTTACTTGTTATCTTTAGAAAAAGGGGACAGTGATAGCTTATTTTATTCCCAGTCGCCATGCTGTTAAAAGTGTCAAAATGTGTCACCTCCCAGTCTTGAGTTCAGATTCCTTGTCTCCAACCACGTGCTCTTTCATTCCAACTCACCCTTTCAAGACGTCGTACACTGAAAGGTAAGTCTACTTCATCGCAGTTCATGCTACCAACTTCCAAAATATAGGTCAGTTTCACTCCAGCTTTTATTTACCCACTTGAGAGAATAGTTTCCGTTATTACATATCCTCCATTGCAAATATCCTCAGATCTGGCTCCCTTTCATTCACTCCTGGAAATGAAAGAAAATTGTGCACCAGGCAGAGTTAGCATTTCCAAATACTTAGCAATGCCTAACAATTTTTATATAGGTCTTTGCAGCTTGTTTCTTCACAGGACAAATTTTCTCTCTTCTTTCCTGCTTCCCTTATCTGATGACCTTTTTACTGCATTTGCTTTAAAAATACAGACATTTGATAGAAACTTAAAACTTTCCATCACCAAATCCCTCTTTGACTTAGTCAAAAGCAATCCCATCTTCTAGATTTTTACATTCATTCACCTCAAGAACTTGCCATTAACTTCTCATTCCATCAATTTTTGTCTTTTCCAACTGCATAACTACTAGAGGAGAAAAGGGGCTAGGAAGACTTCCTCATGCTGTTGGTCTATAACCTCATTTATTTGTGGTTTCTGTTCCAGTTAATATGATCCATGTTTAGCCATGACCTTCATGATGTGAGTGAAGGTTATATACCTAAGAAGCAGCCCTACTGCTCATCTGTAGTACCTGAACATACTTGGCACTTATTATTGATCACCACTTCATATGTCCCAACAACTCTTCTAAAATTGCTCTTATTAAGGCCACCAATCTTTACTTTTTTTTCCCATACCTGTTGGGTTTGGTTTGGTTTGGTTTTTGCTGTGATTTTGGTCTTTTCCCCCTTGCTCTGTGTATTTGATAGGCTTGATGATTCCTTGAAATAACTTATTTTTCCTTGACAACATTGTGTTTTTGGCATCTTATCCTCTGGTTGTCCCATTCTCAATCCATTTCTAGTTCTTCCTCCAGTACCTAACCTTGGGGTCATTGTATGTGTGCTTGATCTGGAAGATGTAGTTAATTACCATGCCCAAATTTATATCTTTAAAATGAAACTGTGTAATTAAGGTTAGTGTATCAACTGATACATCCAAACAGTTCATTATTTTCTCCCCTGTCCAGCGACTTGAAATTTATTCCTCTGTCAGTGTCTTTTATCTGAATAAGTGTAGTCACTATCTCAGTTTCTTTAATTGGTTCTTTTGTGTAATAGTAATCCATTTCCTTCTTAACCAGTCACAATTGTCATTTCTCTCCTAAGAAGAAAATAATCTCTCTACTTCTCACTGCCAATGCAGATTATTTTTTTGTCTAGTGTAATCGTCCTTTCAGTCTTCCTTAAGAAACAGAACTCTTCAAGCGGCTAAGTGTATCCTCCTCGCATCATGTTAATGCTTCATTGTGTTTTAGTGAGCTGCTTCAATCAACCAAACTCACTTTTTCAAGGCCTTTTTTCCGACTGTTCCTTATTCAAGGCCGCTGTTCCTACTGTTCCTCATCTTTGGAAGACCCTTTCTAAAGTTTGCGTTTTTCACACCTTAAGGCCTCAGGACCCATAACTGATATTTCTATGTCGTCGTTGTTCTTGTTATGTGCTGTTTACTCACCTGTGAACTCTGCCCTGTCTTGAGTCAGTCTCACTGACTCCGACAGACGTACCCCATTGTCCTAGTTATTGTATCAGTCCATCTCTTTTGCAGTCTTACTCCCCTGTGCTGTCCCTCCATCCTTCCAAGCATAATGCTCTTCTCCAGGGAGATCAGTCTTCCAAGGAGAAACTTGGTTGCACGGTTTTCAAGATAGACCTTTCTGTTCTTTTGGTGATCCATCGTATGTTCAAGACTTTTCTCCAGCACCGCAACTCAAAGGCATCAATTATTCTTCTGTCATCCTTAGTCATTATCCAGCTCTCTGATGCATAGCAAGTAATAGTGAAGACCATGCCCTGAATCAAGCACACTATAGTCTAGACTGACACCGTTACTTCTCAGTACTCTGGAAAGGTTCCTAACAGCATATTCGTCTTTTGATTTTCTGACTGTTGGTGCCAAGAATGTTGGAGCCAAGCAAGCTGTAACTGTTAACAACCTCAGTCCCTTCTACATCCATCATTATAGCACTCATTTTTCTTGATTATCCTAAGTTGTCATTGTTTTTGTTGTTTATATTCTCTCTGTCCCCTCCATCCTCCTATGGACTGTATACTACACAAGGTCAGAAGGTTGGGTGGAGCTTCAGTACAAGAGAGGAAGACAATGGATGAGATGGATTGATTCAGTGATTGGGGTAATGGAAAGTAGATGTGTCAGAGACGATAAGGTTGGCTCAAGATAGAGCAGGGTTCAGAACTATTGTACATAAAGTCGCTATGAATTGCAACCAACTCTACAGCACGTAACAACAACATGCTATCCAACACTTGGGTAGTTTAAAATGGTGTGATGGAATATTCTGGGAACTGGCCCAATATAGGGCAGGGTTCAGCTTGGCAGTTTATAGGGTCATTATGAGTCAGACTCAACCCCCAAGGCACCGAACAGGAAGGGAGCTCTGGTGTCCTAGTGATAAGGAACTGCACTGTCAACCAAAAGGCATAGGGTTCAAATCCACCAGCTGCTCTGAGGAAGAAAGATAGGCAGTCTCCTGTCTCTGAAATTCCACTGGAGGTTCAGCTATGAGTAGGTTCCAACTCAATGGCACATCAGCAACAATAATCTTATACTTCTGATATGTTTTTCTAGTCATTGTAATCCAAATGCTTCAAATAAGTAATCATTTTTTTGTATCATT